TTTGAACAAGTATATGAAAACCCTTTGAAAATGAGAATTAGATAAATGGTTCAGAAATATGGAAGAAAGCCTATGGAAATGATAATCAGACACCATTTTCAATTCAGACCATAGTTTAATTCACCAAAGTGAAGCAACACAGAGTGCATCTTTAATCTACCTTGCTTAATTTCTGCTTTTGAATGAGTATAAGAAAACTCATTGAAAATGAGCATTGGATAAATGGTTAGGAAATATGCAAATAAAACCTATGTAAAAGATAATTGGACATTTTTGCTAATTTAGACTGTAGTTGAATTCAATGAAATGAAGCAGCACAGAGTTAATTTGGACCTTGAACTTGATCTTAACTTTAATGTTAATCCTGACTTTGACATTCAGCTTGAAATTTCTTAGAACTAGTCTTAGCCTTGAACTTGACCTAGACCTTGAAACTCAGATTGAATTTTACTTTGATCTTGACCTTGGCACTGGTTCATATTAACTTTTTGTTTCTGAGAAACATCCATATGATATATAGCCCAAATACTTATGACCTTGACACCTACCTTTAAATTTGCCTTTACCTTGACCTTGATTTAGACCCACATCCTGTCCAAGACAATTATTGTCCCAGACCATGTCTAGTCTAAATATAAACTTGATTTTTAACCTTGATCTTAACATTGAACTGAAATTGACTTTGACTATTATTGAATTTGAACTTTTCCACAACCTAATCCATAACTCGGACCCACCTCCTGTCCACCACTATCAACTCTGTCAACTCCTGAATGTGAACTTGAAATTTACCTCAAAATTGACCTTAAATTTTGCATAGATTTTGACACTTGACCTTAATCTCATACTTAATCTTGACTGGTTCTGAATGACAGTCTGTCCCTTTTGTACTGATCAAGTCTTTGAACACAAACTTGACCTTGATCTTGAATATGACCTTAACCTGACAATAACCTTCATATTGACCTTAACCTCAGTGCTGGTTTAGACCCTCATCTAGCCCTGACTATTATCCAGATAATATCTAATCCTGTGGTTTTGATCTTGATCTTGACCTCGACCGTGACTCATTCCTATTTCTTGGTTCTATCATCCAAAACATGTCCAGCCATGATTGTGAGCTTAAATATACTCCTGGTCTTGGAATTGACTTTGACCTTGAATTTGCTACTAATGTTGAATTTGGTATTGACTTATACCATGATTCAAACTCTTCTCTTCCCGCCTATTGTCCAGACCATATCTAGATCTGACTTGATGACCTTGGCTTTGGCTTTGACCAAAAAATTGAGCTTTCCCTTCATCCTGATTTACACACTTCTTAACACTATCATCCAGAGCAAGTATAGCCTTGAATGTGAAGTTTAATTGGATCTTAACCTTAGACATACATTTATATTCACCTTGACCATGATTTAAACCCATTTTTCTGCTCTTATTAAGACCCAAGGGATGGTTTCAACAGATATTGACTTTAATTTCATAGCAAGATTCATTCCAGATGAGGTACTCAGCTCCAGAACTGGGTTTATACTTAATTATCTCAGCCTCAAGTGTGGATTTAGCCCTGATGACCACCCCAGCACTGAAGGTGGATTCCTGTCTGCAGCAGTATTCATCCCTGTGAAGAACATCTGGGTTTATCCCTGACAGTGCCCTATGATGCTTATCACCTATGATGACCTTACCCCCATAGGAAAATGCTTCCCCAATGTTGACCTCAGCCCTGAATCAGGGACCATCCTACAGCTAGGTTCATCTCTGAGGATGACCTCAGACCTACACATACATTCATCTGTGATACCTTCAATTTTAAAGCTGTGTTCAGTCCTGATTACCTCATCCCCACAGAAAAATTCATCCCAGGCTGATGACCTCAGCCTGGCAGAAAAATTCATTCCAGAAATTGACCTAGTTCTAGCAGGATGATGTACTCAGCCAAGGTACTGAATTCATCTCCACTGTGGAACTCAGCCTCACAGAAGTATTCACCCATAATGATAACCTCAGGCCTGTAGTTGAATTCATCCCAGATGTTGATTTCATTCCTGAAGAAGGATCCATCCTGATGATTTTAGTCCTCATTGCTATTTCCATCCTTAGCCCTAGCTCTTGCCCTTGTCCTAACCCATCTAATGCTATTTTAGAATTAGTTTTTCTCATGAGAATGAGTTAGGTCTCTGTCACTTGCAAACAAAAGGGTCCTGAGAAATAAAAAACATCAGGCAGGAAATATCTACACTAGGACATAGTCTCTGGAGGGTTTTTCTTTTTTTTTCTTTTTTGTCCTTTTTGTGACCGGTAAGGGGATCACAACCCTTGGCTTGGTGTCTCCTGCACCGCGCTCAGCCAGTGAGCGCACCAGCCATGCCTATATAGGAGCCGAATCCACGGCGGGAGCGCCGCTGCGCTCCCAAGCGCTGCACCCTCCCGAGTGCACCACGGGGCCAGCCCTCTGGAGGCTTTTTCTTATGCAACATGCCTTTAGTTTCAAAAAAGTGATTTGATGGTCCCTATGGGATCCAGGCACCAGAGACTCCAAATCTCTGAAGAGAAAAACCAAGAAATCTCTGCCAAGGAAACCCTTCTATTTAGTGGCATGGAGGCCACTGAATATAATTCAATGTGGTAGTCATAATGAACCCTCATAGTGGAGTGGAAAGCAATCCGATCTGGCAGGCAGATTGCACTGTATAGTCTCAGTTCTCCCACAATTCCCACACTACTCAAGTTCCTTCCTTAAAGAGTAAAACTTACTGAAATACTCAATATTTTCATTAAGGTCTAGCTCACTCCTTGCATTAGTCCATTTTCTGCTGCTTGTAACAATACCTGAAACTGCGTAATTTATAAGAAAATAAAATGTATTTCTTAAAGTTTTGGAGGCTGGGAAGTCCAAGACCCAGGGGGCACCTCTGGTGAGGGACATCTTGGAGGGAACTTTCTACACAGTCCTGTGGTGATACAGGTAATCACATGGCAAGGGCTGCATGAAAGTGCTTTATAGCAGGCTCACTTGCTCTCCTTATAGTCAGCAGTCCACACCCATGATAACCCATTAAACCACTACTCCATGAATAGATTAATCCATTCACAAGAGCATAGTCCTCATGATCCAATCACCTCTCAAAGGCCCCACCTTTCAACACTGCCACATTGGCAGTCAAGCTCCCACATGAGCTTTTGAGGGGACCAACATTCAGACCATAGCACTCCTCATCCCCACACCAATTTGCCTCTTGTCCCTGTAAGTCTTCCACCACAAAGACTCCCTTGTCCCTAAATCCAGTAGACATCTTTAAGTCCTTGTGTTCCTTGGATCTCTATTAACATTAGACACTCATGATTACTTTCTCCTTCCCTAAGGTCTCTTAGAATACAATATTCCCTGGGTTTTTTTTTTTTTTTTCCCCTTCTCTCTCTTGTGGTTTTTCCTCTACCTTTACACTGTAGGATTATTGTTCTCTAACTGGTCATTCAATGTTGCAGGAACTCATGCTTCAGTCCTGGGTCCTCTACTTTGCCTCCTGTTTACCTATAATAAAGTTCTTCTACCTGAATGCTCTACTTCCTACCCTCTCCCTCACCCCCAGACTTCTTCAATCAATTCATGAGTAACTCTTAGTCATTCTTGGATCTCAGCCTCAATGTCATTTCCTGATGAAAAATCTTTCCTGAACACACGACTTGGTCAGACTCCTGTACTGCATGCATACCTTGGGTCTGAGCCAGACCGCCTAAGTTCAAATCCGAGCGCCACCACTCACTACCTGTAGAACCTGGGAAAGTTAAGAAAACTTGTAATGTCTCAGTCTCCTTTATAAATAGGGATGATTATAGGATCTGCTGCATCAGGTTGTTATGAGGTTGTTGGAGCTTACACAGTAAAATGCTTAGAACATGACCAGACACAGTAAGTGCTCGATCAATCTTAGATCTCATTATTATATGCTTCTACAGCACCACATGCTTGACTTTTGCAGGATTTATCAGAGCTAGAAATTTAATCCTTGTTTGTGTGGTGTTGATTATTGATTGTCTCCCTCAGTAGATCCTCGGGAGAGGGATGATGAGTGCTTTGTCCACAACTGTATCCCTGGTATCTAGCCTGGGGCTTGGCACATAGTTGTGCTGGATATTCTCCACTTGCCCCTCCAGATCCATCTCCACCTTCACCTGGCCCTGTGCCCCAGGAGGCTGGGACCTCTATGAGCCATCAACTGGTTCCCCAATCATTGAACTTCTGGTTGGGTTTGACCAATGGGAGACACTGGCAGATGAAAGCAGGGGACAGAGTATGAGGTTGGCGTATTTATTCTCCTGGCTCTCTCTGCAAGACCACAAGCTGGTGGTAGCTGTGTCTCTTTACTAGAGACCAGGACTCATCTCAGGCAACCCCAATCCCAACCATTCTCCAGGTCAGGTGAAGGCCTGATGCTAACAGCCTGCTCACTGTGCCTGGCCCCAGGGTGCTTCACCCTTCCTTATTGCTCCCATGTTCCTGTAACTGTCCCTCCCTTAAACACTGCTCAATTACTCCAGTTAGTATGCAGTTCTTTCCTTCTGGGACAGACTGATATAAGAGGTTCTATATCAATATTTGTTGAATGTTTTGCCACATAAAGATAATCATCCTCAGACCAAACCATGGCTAAAGTTGTTATGATGAGTTCATAAGAAATAGGAAGTAAACATACTTAAAAAAAAAAAAGTTCTGAAGCAGTGGTTCTCACACACTGAGTGTGCATGAGAGTCACCTGGAGGGTTGGCTAAATCCTCCTGATGGACTCCATCCAAAAATATGCTGATCCAGCAGGCCTGGGGTGGGGGTGGGGTCAATAATTTGCATTTCTAATAAGTTTCCCAGTGACTTGATGTTTCCAGGCTAGGGACCACACTTTGAGAAACACTGCACTAGAGAAATACCAGAGGTTTTTGTTACTTATAGACCCCATGTCTCATGGTTGCATTAACTATTTTCAAAGACAAGAAAGGGCAAGTGCAATATAACCTATGTTTTATTTTATACCTCTCTGATCATTGAAATCTAAACGGAGGTTTTTTGCTAATAATGAAAAAGAAAAAGAAAAAGCAATGACAACATTAAATGCTGGGAACAGATGAGGGGTGGGCAAGGCCCCATCCTGGGAGGACTGCACACACTCACAGGGTGCACCAGCAAAGTGATCCTCAAGGCTGGGACCTTGTGAAGACAGCAGTTAAGCCACAGCTTGAGAGTCCCAAGGCTTGGGGACAGAAAGGACCTCCTTCTTGCTTCACCCCAATCCAGGCTGCATGGGCACGAACCAGAGCAAACACACCCTGCAAGGCATGCTGGCCTGGCACACAGACACACATTCATGCCCAGGCACACATACAAGCCACACTCCTGACTTCAGGGCTCCATCACTGGCTCAGAAACCAAATCCGGAATCGAGATGTGTGCCAGTCTCCTTAGCAGATGTACAGAAGGCCACTGCAGAGGCAGGTATCAACCAACCCAAGGACCCAGCAAGGCAGAAACTGTTCTGTGCCCCTCTGGCATGAGGGAAAATTCTATTGAGCAACTAGAGCTGGCCAGGCCCAGTCAGGGAGGTCCAGTCACTAGTTCTGAGACACCATCCAGCTCTGCTCTGCTCCTCAGTAACCAGTCCATGAGGAAGCAGAGTGCCAGAAGGCCAGTCCCTAGCAGGTCCCCCAGCCCTGTGAGGTAGGGGATGCAGTGGTTGTCAGGATCCAGAGCCTGGTGCCAAGTCAGCCGAACCATCACTTCTGCCAGGTACAGCAGGATTGTCACCTGTCATAAGAGCAAGCAGACATGAAAGAAGACCAAGTCAGGCAGCCAAGCACAGCCAAGAAACACGTTGAGTTTCAAGGGCAGATAGCAAGGTGGACATATCAACCCCAGCCGGTCCCCTTCCTCCAGCTTCTCTTGGGGTCTGTCATTCAGCTCTGAGCTCATGCAAGTGGCTAGAGAAGCCAACCCTCATCTGCACTTTCCGAGCTTCCTATCCTGTGGTTAGGCCCTGCTCCTGACATCCTGAAGTGCCAGACTGACCTGCTGCCACTCCTCAGCTGTGATCCTCTCTGCAGAACCAGACTCCACTCCTTGGAACTTGCTGGGACTTCCATTTGGGTTTACTTGAGGCCCTCTCCTTTGGAGCTTTGGACGGTTAGCACTTACTGAAGCTGCCATGGCCAGTACACACAGCCCCAGTCAGGTCTCATGGCTCCTCGGTCCCTTACCCAGGCTGACCCCAGCCCCTTCCTTCTCCCTAGCTGGAGCCATACACTGCCACTGCCGCTCAGGACAGTTTCTTGGCCAACCCCATGCCTACCTTTCAGGGTCAGGAACATGCTGCAATTGCAAATGCCATAAAGTTGGGGAGCTTAGAAAATGCTAGTCCCTAATACGGCACTACCCTCACGGAATTGCCCACCAGTGCCCAGAGTTCTCCTTGTAGAAGTCCCTGGCCCATTGGGAACATCAGCCAGCTGAAGTCTTGGCAGGTAGACTGCTCAATACCATCAAAGCAGGCACAGCTTAATCTCCTCCACCACTGTCCTCATTGCCATCCAGCCCTGACCAAAGTCCATGCATGACTTTGAGCAGCACCCCAGCAGGGGGCCCTGGTCCCTGCCCACCCACCATCTGTGAGGCAGTGCACTGCTGGATGCACTCACCAGCCTGCTCCATGGGAACACACTGCATCCTGAGGGCTGCTTCTCTGATCCTCTAATGATGAGTGTGCAGTGTGCAGTGCACAGTGTCCAACATGCAGCATACAGTTTGTAGCATGCTCTGTGTGGTATCTAGTGTGCAGTGTGCAACATCTTGTGTGCAGTGCATAGTGCAAGGTGTGCAGAGTGTAGCATGCAGCACGTAGCATGTCATGTGCAGTGTGTAGCATGTAATGTCTGGGAAGAATTGTGTAGCATACAGTGCATATTGTGAGGTACACAATGTGTAAAGTGCAGTGTTTAGAGTTCAGTGTATCGTTTGCAGCATGTAGTGTGCAGTGTCTAGAGTGTAGTGCATAGTGTGAGTGTCCAGCGCATAGTGCAAGGTGTGGAGCATGCAGTGGGAAGCATGTAGCATGGTGTGTACTGTATAGTCTGTGGTATGCATCATGCAGTGTATACTGTGTGGTGTCTACCATGCACTGCACAGTGTGAGGTGTACAATATGTACTGTGAAGTGCACATTGTGCAGTTTGAGGTGTGAGGTTTCTAGTGTGTACTGAAGTGCAGTGTGTAATGTGCTATGTGAAGTGCGTAGTTTGTAGAATGAAGTGCATAGTGTGTAGTATCCAGTGTGTAGTGTGAGGTGCAAGGTGTCTAGTGTGTGGTATCTAGTGTGAGATGTGCAGTGTAGTGTGAGGTGTACAGTGTCTAGCATGCATTGTGTAGTGAGATGTGCAGTGCATGGTATGCAGTGTGTAGTGTGCAGTGAGTTGTGCAGAGTGTAGTGTGAGGTGTACAGAGTCTAGAGTGCAGCATATGTAGTGTGAGTGCACAGTGTGAGTATAATGCATGCAATGTGTAGTGTGGGGTATGTAGTGTCTAGCATCAAGTGTGAGGTGTGCAGTGGGAGGTGTGTGGTGTCTAGTGTGCAGTGTGAGGTGTGCAGTGTGAGGTGTGCAGTATATAGTTTGCATCATGAAGTGTGTGTGACATGCACAATGCAGTATGCAGTGTGTGGCATGCAGTGGCCTCTGTGTCTGGAACATGCCCTTGGGATTGAATATGTTGAATAAGCTGACTCAACTCCCCGAAAAAGTGAGCCTTGCATGTCCAAGAACGCCCACTCCACCCCAGCCCACTCAGCATCTCACCTAGGATGGGGGACAGAGCTTGCTGCCTGACTACCCAGCACCTGCTGCTCTCCTGCCGCTGCAGTCATCCTTACCTGGATCAGGCCTGCGAGCAGATAGAGCACCACGAAGGTCTTGCTGTCTGTGACTGACTGACCTTCCACCAGGTGGATGACATAGAAAAAAGTCAGATGACCTGGGACCACCAGAAAGAGCAGGACTCGGGCTGAGATGGAATTGATTTCTGGAAGAAACAGACCAAGAAGTTTGTGTGACCTGCCTGGCAGCAGAGGCCACCTTGGCATGTGGCAGTCACCAGCGAGGCATCTACATTCACCTATCCATTGATTCCACAAGTTTTACTGAGCACCCACTATGTAGCAGCCACGTTCTAACAGATGGGGAGAGAATCCTGCCCCTTCCTTCATGGAGCTGACATTTCAGGGAAGAGAGACAGACGACAATCAAGTAAGCAGAAACAAACCCAAAAGGTCACGTCAAACTCTGACTAGTACTATGAAAAAAATTAGCCAGGGTAACAACAAAGTGTGAAGTGAGTATTAGTGGAGATGAGCTCCTGGAGATGAGAAGACCTCTTGAGGAGAAGACATTTATGCTGAGGTCTGAATGTGGGAGAGAGAATTCTGGACAGAGGAAAGAGAATGTGCAAGGGGCTTAAGGTGGAAGAACTTGGGACTGTTGAGGAACATTCCCATACTCCACTCAGGTGTGGAGACAGTAGTCTAGGGAGAGCAGTATACTCACGGAGGGCCTCAGGCAAGCCTCTGGGATGCTGTCAGCACATCTGTGATGTGTTAGTGAGCCCCAAGTTTTCCTTAGGCTCCCACACTCTGTGAGTTTGAGACTTTGCAGTGACTCACCCTGCCCCAACCATAAACACTTCTCAATACCATAACATGTGAATGCAACTGACTTCTCAAACAGAAATAGTTCCAATGAAAAGTAAATCTCCATTTGCCTCTGAGTATTTCACCAAAATTATAAGGAAAAGGAGGAAAAAGCATATGTAGCTTAGAAGCTAAAATGTCTACCATAATTAATAAAAAGATCTTTTTAAAAGAAAAAACTTTAAAAGGAAGAAGCAAACTATTGGAGGATGCTACTATTGGCAGAGGGCATGAAAATTCAAGAAAATCTATTGAGAAACTATATAAACAATAAGATTCAGTAAAATGTTTCGGTGTATAAATAACATAGAAATACAGTAAGAAAACATAATGGGCAGTCCACTTCTGTACAAGCTGGGGAAGACACACTTGTTCCCATTTCTCCCACTAAGTCCAACCAAATAGCCTGGACATTACATATAAAATAAATAAGATCCTAAAAAGTGGGGGTAAAAGGCAGGCTTGGCTAGGAAACTTGTGGCATAATGAACAACGTGGCGTTGAGTTCCCTGAAAATATATATATATATATTTTGTCTCTTCTATCCCAGATAGATGTCAGCAACCCAGAAATGTCAATAGGAGTAGACAAGAAAGACTCCATAAACTATGCTCCCTTTATTCAAGGTCTAGGAAGGGTGCAGCCCAGCACAGTAGAGAACTTTTACACAATAATTGCTCTACTCTAGCCAGACACCGTAGGAAAAACTGCAGCCCTGCTCCCATCAGCAAAGGCCAAATGGGAAGCTCAGATCTCCACCTTCATCCAGGTGTAATGTGGTATCCCCCAGTGGCTGAGGTGCTGTAAGAGAAGGCCAAGTGGGGAGCCAGGACTTTTATCCTATGCAGTGGTAATGAGGTCCACACCTGTCAGTGAAGCTGTGTGGGGAGCAGTAATGAGGCACCCCTCCCCCTCCCAGCCAGGGTGCTGTAGGAGAGGCCAAGTTAGAAACCTGGACGCTTGCCCTGCCCAGCAGTAAGGAAACAGTGTATTCCCTTTCCTCCAATGGAGCAGTGTCAGAGGAGTCCAGCTAAAACAGAAGAGTTTCAAAAAAAGGTCCAGAGTCTCAAAACATAATACCCAAAATGTCCAGATTCAATCTAAAAATCACTCGTAATACCAAGAGCCAGAACAGTCTCATCTTGGACGAAAACAGATAACCAAAAGACACCAAACTGAGGTGACACAGTAGTTAGTATTTCTTGAAAACAATTTTAATGAAGCCATTAAAAAATGCTTCCACAAGCAATTACAAACACACTTGAAATGAAAATATAAAAAGTGTCAGCAAAGAAACAGAAGATACAAAGAACCAAAGAAATTTTAGAACTAAATAAAAAAACACTCAATAACTCAATGGGTAGACTCAACAGCAGAATAGAGAAAACAGTGGGAAGAGCAGTGAACTTGAAGAAAAAATGCTAGAAAATAGTTTTCTAAAGAGAGAAAGTATACAGAAAAAAAATTGAAGAGCTTCAGGGACTTTGGGGACTTGACAGAGTTTGGATGTGTTGTCCCCGCAAGACTCATGTGGAAATCTGATCCCCAATGGGGCAGTGTTGGGAGCTGTTTGAGTCATGGGGGTGGATCCCTCATGAATGAATTAATGCTCTCCTCAGGGTGTGGGGGTGAGTGAGTTCTCACTTTATTAGTTCCCACAAGAGCTGGTTGTTTATAGGACCCTGGCACCTCCCCGCCTCTCTCTTGCTTCCTCTTGCCATGAGATCTGCTTGTACTTGCCAGCTGCCTGCTGTTTTCTGTCATGAGTAGAAGCAGCTTCAGGCACACACCAGATGAAGCTATCCCAGAATCATGAGCCAAATAAATCTCTATTCTTTATAAATTACCCAGTTTCAGGTCTTCTGTTATAGGGAACACAAAAACAGGCTAATACAGGACTATAACAAAAGATCTAACATTCATGTCATTAAAGAAAGGAGAAAGATAGTGGGGCTGAAAAAATATGTGAAGAAATAATGGCTTAAAATTTCCCAGTTTTGGCAAAAGACATAAATCTATCCAAGGAGCTTAGCAAACTGCAAATAGGATACCCCTAAGAAATCTACATCAATACACGTCATAATCCAACTTCTAAAAACTAAAGGAGAAGTCCTGAAATAAGCAAGACACAAATAACACCATATCTATACAGCAAAGACAGCTCAAATGACAGCAGATTTTTAATAAGAAACTATGGAGGTCAGAAGGAAATGGCACATTTTTCAACTATTGGGAACAACTATCCTGAATTTTATAGTCAATGAAATTATCTCTCACAAATATGCCAGCAAACTCACCCTAAAAGATGGCTAAATGCTGGGCCGGCCCGGTGGCGCACTGCTACAGTGCGCCGCTTGGGAGCGCAGTGGCGCTCCCGCCGAGGGTTCGGATCCC